CACTGTAAACTTCACATTTAGAAAGGAATAATTGATAGCCTGTCTACGCTTTATAGGTTGACAGTCCTTGAAACTTGTAATTTTCAAGGAAAACTTGGGATTTTTTTTTAAGGAACCACTTTTAGGACACCAATAAGGAACATTTTATTCCTTAATTTGATAGTTCACTGGCTTTTGCACATTCATAAAGCATCACAATTCCTGATGAATTCTGACTTAAACTTGCTTCATACAGATTTATAGCTTTATGTAGACAAGAATAAATATATTTTAAGATTCCTGCAGCACAAAACCATCTACTTAAACAGGAAAGGGTCTTGAGGTTGTGCAGAGGGTCTCCTTGCTCCTTCATTACATGTGGTGATGTGGAATACAGCTGTGAAATGCTTCTGTGATGAAGAAAATAACCAGCCTTATGTAACAAACTTTTTAAAATTCAGTCTCTGCCTCTTACTAAGAAGGAAAGAGTAAGCTGAAGTTTGTTCTGAAGATAAAAGCTTATGTTTACCAGCCTTTCTGTCAGACCTGAATCTTGTATTAGAGACCACATCGTATTTATTCCTACCAGTTCTCGAGCCTCCTGAGGCTGAGGACCCAGGCAGGCAGAGAAGTGAGAGACAGAGGTACGTGCAGTTCAGCTCTCTGCAGTGCTCTTGTGGTGGCAAGGAGAGAGGAGGAGGAGGACCAGTAACTTCCACGAACCCACTTTGCATTTAAATGGAAAATTTTACAGACAAGGGGTGGGTTTCTTGGAAGCTGCAGCCCCCTCTCGTGTTTCTGACATCTGGATGCAGTTCCCAGCTTTATGCATTTGGACAGAGAGAAATGAGAAGTGTTTATTCAGGGCAGAGGTGGGGGTGCCTGCACACAGAGCAGATTGCAGGTGCACACGAAGGTCATTGCTTTTTGTGGTTGTGCTGCATGAAAACTGGACACCGAGTTAGACAAATAGCAAATAAGGGTTATTGCTGATTCCTGTGCTTTCTATCTCTCATAGTTAAGATATTATTCACATTAATCTGAGCTCTTTTCTAATGAAAGTATGAGATAACCAATTCCTACTTAAATTCACATCCCTGAGTCTTTTACAGATAATCCATGAATTTCCACAACTTTGTTGAAGGTCAGGGGTTGTGCAGTCAAATTTTAGGTTGAGGTTGTGTTGTTCTGTTATTCTGTGCTACTACCTTTTGTTCACAAGGAAGGGCAAGCCTTCATGAAGGCAGGGACTGAGCTTTCCAGGCTAAATATTTGTAATGGAGGGTTTAGAAATCGGCAGCAGCACACCAGGTCAGGTGTCAGAGCAGCTTCCCTTTGAGTTCATTCCTGGAAAACCACACTTTGAACCACACTTGCTTTAGGCTTAGGTTGTGGAGCAACCAAACTAAAGGATTCAAGGTCCTGAACTAAAGGGGTTAATTTATACCAAGGCATTTTGGTGCCCTGTCTGATGACTCACTGCTGAGGGAAAGCTTTAGGAAAGGCACTCGCTCTTGTTTAAAAGTAGCTCCTAAGAACACTTCTTTTATGCTACTGGACTCTGCCAGATAGAAAGGAGAGCTGTCTGTTTTCACTCTCAAATTATTTTTGTTTTTATTTTTGTGTTTGTAAAAGTGCTATCAGCCAGGCATTAAATTATAACCCGTGAACTTTGAAAATTTTCAAGGCACCACATTCTCCTAAACTTCTCTGGTTTACAAAGAAATTTCTCTCCCTCAGAAGTAGACCTTTAGGGCGCTGTAGTTGTAATAAAATTATATGTAACCTGTTGTTTAAAAATCATCATCATGTATCTCTAGCCAGGCGCTTTGCTGAAAATCTCCCAGTGTTGTATGGACCCTTTGGTTTAGAAATTGTTTCACATTCGGGCATGGTGGCAGCAGATGTGAATGCAAAGGCTGTCTAATAGAATATGAATGAGCCTGTGATGAATCCTTGGAAGCATCCTGTATTGATGAATTACAAGAGTAGAAAAAATATGGTCCTGGCTTTGATGCATGAGGTCATACAGATCTCACTTCATAATTTATAGAAAAATGGCTGCAGAACAGGCATCCTCCTAGGGGAAACTTATATTTGCACATAATATATTTGTGAATCAAAATTACTCTATTTGAGGAGTGGATAGGCAAGGGTTCTGCAGTCTGGTTCAACTGTGCCAGGGAGCAATGAGAGGAAAGGAGGCATCTCTGCTCCTCCCTCAATAAGCATGGCATAAATTCAGTGGTCCAGATAATCTTTAATGGGATGAAGGAAGACAAAGAAGGAGTGGGTACCAGCCTGGCCTCCACACTGTCTAGTAGCTCAGAGCACCATGCTGGAACTTCAACATATTATGAATTATTGCCTCCCACAGAAATAATTTTGCCTGAGATGATGTTCCTTCATGCCAAATGTGTCAGTGTGTCTTTTCTGACACCCAGCATGGAGCTGCCATAGGAAAAGGAGGGATGTGCTGTTTGGGGCACTCAGGGTTACACAAACCAAGTGCCTGGTGCTGTGTCTGCTGCAGTGTCTTGTCATGCTCAGCTCACACAGCTTACATCAAATTAGGATCAAAGTGCTTTAGTGACTTATTAGTGGCACATAATTAGCAGGAAATAAGTGAGCAAATTATTCAGTGTCAGTAATACAAGAGGTAACATTTTGTCTGCTGTTGGGGTTTAGAAAATAACGGTGAATTCTTCACCACCCTCCTGTAACTAACCCTGCACATCTCCAGCTCCCCTTGCATGGGATTTGCACACCTCTTCTTGCAGATATGGGGTTTACAGCATCCCTCTCCTGCATGTGTGGGGTCAGCATCCTATGTTAGCCAAAGAGGCTGTAGCTCTGTGAATTTACCTGTGCTGCTCCCTACAGTCGCACAAGTTTACGTGCTCAGACCTGAGATGAGGGTCCATAACACGAACATAATTCACTGATTCAGTATCCAGTCTAAACAGTGAGTCTTCATTCCTTCAGCGCTTGCTTCATGACACAAATCTTCCTCTGCTAACAAAGCACATTTTCCTATGTCTTAATTTACTAAGATTAATGTTGGAAAGTTCAACTTTGTGCAAACCCTTAGCGAGACAAATTTTTCATTAATTGTATTCAACCATCAAATTATACTGAGTAATTTCATATGCAGCAGTGATTTAAATTAAGGAGATAACCTATTCACTGATGCAGACTAAACTGGTCTCGAAATTAAAAGGTCAGAGCCTCAACTGGTATAAATTAGTGTAGTTCTTTAGAAGACAATGCAGCTGAAGTCAACAGGGCTGCTCTGGTCTGTGCCAGACAAGCCCATGGCACAAGGACTCCCCCTTATCTGGGGCCCCCTTATCTGGGGCACAAGACTTAGATGGTGGTTGGGCATCAGTCAGTCCTGCCAGGGACAAGCTGGAATTAAAGCAGACATTCCAGAGTGGTGGTAGAAGGTTCACAACTTTGTGAACATGCTTGAACCTGGCAATAGTATATTACTTTGATACAAGCTGGCAGACAGCCACTGCTCCCCTTTAAAGGTTCCGGGTGTCTTTCTGAGCAGATTATTTCAGTCCTTATCCTACTTTAATTTACAGAGAAGAAAGATGCTGTGTGTTTCAGTGGGTCAGACCTTGTCCCTGGTACCCTGTTGGGTTGGCAGCTGGTTGCACAAACAGCTATATTAAAAACAGTAATGATACTCAGGGGTTTAAACAAGTAAATAAGGCTCAACCTGATCAATCCTGACACCTGCTAAGCCTGTGGGTTGGGTATCAGTTGCCTCAAGTATCAGACTCTACAGGTAGATATCAGTTGTAACTCACTCTTCACAGAAGGATAGATCTTAATCTCATTTTTGGGTGGATATTAATTAGGCATTCCAATATGGAATCCATCTTTTAAGGAGTTTGTACAGCAGAGGAATATACCCTCCTTCACAGCTTTGGTTTCTGAGAAACTGCAAAACACCTGAGCCTTGTTGCCTTGAGGGTGCAGTGGAGCCCAGGGACAGCCCCTCTCCTTCTCAGGGATCCACCCAAGCTCTGTTGGGCTGATTGCTTCTGGTTTCAGCACTGCAAGCAAGCCCAGCAGCTCTTGGTGGCTCTGAGCCTGGGGAAAGTTGATTTTTCTATTGATTTGGGGGAATTTGGACCAGGCCTACATCCTGTCTCCGAAAATTGATTGAATAAGTTGTTTATTCTCCTTTACTATTCTACTGGCTTGGCAGGAACATTCTGTCAGAGAAGAGACAAGAGCCCTGCCCTCCCACTGCCTGCTGGCAGAGGGGCCCTATTAAATGCAGTGAGAGCAGAGTCTGTGAACCTTTCTAAAATTACTGCTGACAGATTAATGTTCCTGTAATTACACTAGAACATCTTGGAAACACAAATATTAATTAAGAGTATTGAGCCAATTTGGGACAGTCTTCAATAGTGTTGAACAGAAATCCTGTAAAAATGTAACAAAATGTAAGCATTGGAAAAATAATCAGCATTAGTTACAGAAGATAAAGTAACTGTTAAAGGGTGAAGTGATTTTTGGCTTAGAATTTATATCAGGCCTTACTAGTAAAGATCATGTAATATAGCAATAATAGTTTTTCTAAATTTAGTTTTATGTCAAAGTTTGAGTAGTGTCAGAAATACATGTTTGTGCTTTAAGGTATATTTTGAAGTTCTGTGACCCTGCTTCTTTGAGCTATTGCATGTAGGAGGTTGAGAGGACTGCTAGTCAGTTAAGAAGTCCATAAATGCAATCCATAAAAAATCAAATACTTATACTTACAAAATAGCAATGACTGGTGTATTTTCTAAATACTAGGAATATTTTGTTGTCTTTTTATATTTTGCCCCATAGCTATTTTATTTCTGCTCGAGAGGAGCAGGAAGCTATAGCTAATGGGTCAGACCTCTTAATTATAGAGAAGAGTCTCACATTCAGCCCTCCTTGTGCTCCCCTCCTGTTCATACAGTGCCTGTTTTCCTGCTGCATAACACCCCAAAGACCCTCCTGTTCTCTTCTTGCAGGTTAAAATTGGGAGAAAAGCAACATGAATGTTTGCCTTATAACTCAGTGGTGTCGATAGGAGAGCACTCCTTCCAGGTGACAGTATTGATTGGCTTTTTCCTTCCTTTGTGCTTTGTACAACAGACTTTGTGTGTGTCCTCTCTCTGCACAAAGGATGTGATGGGCAGGGTTGGAGGGTCTGCCCCAGGTGACAGCAAGGACAGTGATCCCCAGGGTGCCACCTGGGTGCACCAGGGCTGCTCCAGAACTGCACTCAAGCACCTGTTTGGTCTAACACTGGGACTAAAACAGATCTTATCCCTTTTCTTACGCACTGCTTAAGCAAATTAGAGAATGAGATGAATTATCAGCCCTCTCATTTGCATTTCATCCTTACTATAGACCTAAATTAAGAGAATGAGCCAGTTAAGCATATTACAGTGAAAAGGTTTAAAAAAACTTTTCATGTGAAACTTTTTTTTTCCCATTTGCATGTCCTGAACATCCTCTGAACTTTCTAAGTTTCTCTTTTGCCTTTAAAGATGTGTACCTTCACGCTGTATCTTCTCTCATTTGCAACAAACCCACAAATTTAAAAGGAGAAAACCTAGTGTAAATACTAAAAATGTTTCAGCATGACTGAAACAAATGAAATCACAGCTTGCCCTGAAAATTATCAGCAGGAGGAACAACCAAAGGAATGTATATTGTCTTATCTGTACTAAAGTTTTGATTAAGACAACGAAATGAGCAGACCATAATGTTCTGTGTGTGTTTTAAAAGCATAATCGTACTTCAAAATGAGAATGTATGAATTCACATCAGATAGGTAATTAACCTTATGCCACAAAATATTTCAAATCTCCCTGTCCTTGAGAATTTACTAATGGCACATAAACTATTTACATCTTTTTTGAATAATTTATCCTGTCCTTCCATTATGTCAAATGAATTTATAATCTTGGATAATGAAGCATTCCTGAGTGAAAGTTAATATAGAGCAGTACCTCCTACTGAGTACAAGTCTGTGAAAATACTTTTTCCCCCCATAGAACTTTATAAATTCTTTAAATGTACTTATCCCAGCAAGCCTAGGATCAGAGAGCCTGGGTTTGTGCAGGATTTGCTGATATAAAACAAGGTAATTCCATTTATCTCAAAAGAGCAAGTCCTGTTTTTCCACTGGTGTTAAGTCAGAGAACTGAGCCTGGAATATTTAACTCTACCAGAGACATGTGGATCTTAACTTTATTTAGACGGATATTCTATCCCAATATTACCCTTCATGTCATGACATTTAATTAAGAAAGGTCATTTTTGTCTTCTTTGGAGTACTTGTAAATATTAAACTATGTTTCCCTTATGTAGGGGTTCTTCTGCACAAAGGGATTGACATCAGCCCAGTTAAGGTCTCTTTAGCTAATTTTTAGCTAAAATTAAATTGTCCTGTACAAGAGTGATTTTGTGCCTGTGCTTGATGACTTGTTAGTATTTAAAGACCCACATGTATGTCGTTCTAGGATGCAAAAATAAGTGGGCAATAACCTCCATATGATTATAAGCCGCAAGATAAGCAACCACTTTTGTTATTTACCTGTTATTGTTTGTAATAAGGTTATAGGAAAGAAATATAGTCTATTAGATCTTCAAATAAAGCCTAGAACAGGATGTAGGTACAGGTATTTTCCCTTAATTGCATGTGTACAAGTAGGAATAAATTCTTGATGTTGGCTGGTGATAGTGCTTCTACACCATGAAAGGAGATCTCTTTCTTCCTCTGTCTTTCCTGAATGGAAGTGCCCTTCAGCATTTTATTTGTTTATTTGGCTGCAGAGTTTACCCTCTACCTTCTATTTGTCCTCACCCTTAATCTTGTTAGGTGTTCAGTGTTCTCACCTTTTTTTTTCAAATAATGGAGGCATTTGCACCTTTTTTACATTTGCCACTTCCAGTCTCCTTGCTTTTGGCCTCAGGTTTCCTTTGTTGGAGCACAATCTGTAGTTAAGGCACCAAGATGCTCCGTGCTGGTGGAAGCTCAGTCTGCTCCTTTATGGTCACAGCAGGAGGTGAATAATGTTGTTACACGGGAAGTTTGTCAGTGGCTTTCGCTATCCCTCTCTGGAGCCTTTAACTTCTCCAACAGTGTCTTTATATAAAGGCAATCCTTGAGATAAAGTGACATCCACTAATGGTGTAGTGTCAATGGAGCAGGAATTTGGTGCCTGGCTCTGAGAGGCAACTCCTCCAGTGGGAAATGGTGTAAAGCTGTAAATATTTGCCAGGAAGGAGGCAAAGGCGAAAATCAGAAATGCTGCTTTTGCTAAATAATGTTATATTGTTAAGCCTAAATTTTTTGGAAATATTGCTAGCAATGGGAAAGCCACTAGCCATTCCCAGTTTTCCCCACCAAGAATAATAGCATTAAATTGACTCTACTGACTTAACACAAACAATAGCATACAACAAAGACAGGCAGGCTCTTCATTGCCTTTCCTTCTGCAATATCTGCATTTTGACTCTGCTGAGACCAGAAAAGGGCTTGGGTATATCCCACTTGGCATAGTACAGAATCACAGAGTTTGACACCCCTTCCCTGTTCTTTTTAATTTCCCTTTCAGAACTAATGAACAACTCACAGGTTTAGAAGAGCAACTTCTGAAACTCTGAGTCTCTAATTTTGCCAGTCTTTACATTTTCCCTCTGCCCACCCTGGAATTCCCGAAATACTACACTTTTGGCATGATTTTAAAAATAGCAGAAATTATTAACGTGATGGAAAAGTAATAAAACCAAGTAGAAAACTTCATTCCTAACAGCTGAAAGAAGGGCTTGTGAGACTGGATAGGAAAAGGACTGATGCCCTGCAGGAATGTGTCTCTCCAAGTGGTACAACTCTTTGGTGCCCTGGTTCACAGCTTCCAGTGGGCAGGTGAAGCCTTCATCCCAACAAAGGAAGCTTCCAGTAAGAGATTTAGAATTAGCATGTTGGCCCAAATAATGGAAACTTCTTATTAAAGGTCACATTTGGAATTCTGGATAACCTAATGAGATCCTTTTCTTTTCCCTGCTCCTGAAGCTTTTCTTTACTGGGGAGCCTAAATGGGAGGAAATTGATGGTTGTTTAGTGATTCTACAGCATGCTGGTGTTTCGATGATATTTTAGGAATGCAAATTGGCTGATGGACGGATGGAAAGATGAAAAGAAAGAGCCTTTCTTCAAGGAAAGAGTATCTAGCAGGCTTTACATTTTGGTAATGTTTGTGGCCAAAAGTGTTTTGAATGTATCATTAGGACTTTTCATATGTTTCCAAACAACTCCATTTATTTTGTATGAAAATGAACCTGTGATATTTTCTTCTTCTGGGCAAGTCTTAGTCCTGCAACAAAAGGGTTTTGCTGTAAGCTGAAGATACCCTAGGCCATGAGTGTGCTATGCTATTTTCCATGAAATTTAAGATTGCAGTCAGCTGTCAGACTTCTGTTTCCTATTTTACCAGAAGACATAATTCATCCTGTGAGCTGACTTGAAAGTGGAATTTCAGCAAGACGAGACAACTTGGATTTGAGGACATATGCTTCCCCTTTTGAAAAGGTCACTCTATGCCTAGAACACAATTTCTCATATCTGTTCTTGTTGCTTTGCAGCTTTGGCAAGTGAAATATTCCTCAGAAATTGTGGAAATATCTAGAGCAAAGAGAAATGTGTGACTAAGAGTTTTGATAATTATATCCCTACTGTGGTCCTCCTGATGAAGTGTCTCCTATATATCTATTTTTCCATTAGCTTCTTTACATTTCAGAACAATGGACTCTTCCTTTTACTATTTATATACATCATGACAAAGTCCAGGTACTCAGAGTGCCTTAAAATCAGTAAATCAAATAGATCAACCATGACTCAGATGGTAAGTTATTTTACTCTGGAGGAAACAAGTCAGCTCTGTTCATTATCTATTGATATGCTGCTGGAATATTTTTTTCCAACACTAAATAGTGAGAGATGATAAAAGGTTTTAATGCATACCTGGATCATAAATGAGTGAATTATCCTGTACTGTCAGACTTTATAGGGTTTTTTCCTGGCTTCTAGAGTATGTACAGGTGGGTGAAAGTGGTGGGATATTTCTTCCTCCTAGGTGTGAAGAATTAAAGGATTTCTGAAGAGAAAAGATCCCCTGCTTGGTTGATTCCATATTGATGCTGTCTGGCATTTGTGGATAGAAACAGTTTTACTGATGCAGACAAGGCTGGTTTTGCAGCAGGGCCCTGAGGGCAAGAGCCTCGGCTCAAAAAGTGTCCCAGGGCAAAGGAGGCAGCCTGGCAGAGCTCTCTGGGGTGGGAAAACCCCAACCTTCTCCTAGCCCTTCTCAGATGCCCCAGGGATGGCCAAAAGTGAGTGCTCTGTCTCACAGCTGGCCTCAGGCACAACCCCAAAATGCCTCTAGTGGGGAAAGGCTCAGGGCATTTACTGTTTCCAGGGTCATTGTTTTGCCCTTAGAGAAAAACACCAATAATTGCAGCTTGTCATTCTTCCATGAACAAAGGGGCCAGGCTGGTGATGTGCAATAAAAATAACTGAAGAAGTCAAAGGCAGTGTTTCAAAGTAATTTTTGTAAAGGCAAGAGATCAAGTGACACAATCTTTCTAGCCACTTCAATAAATATAGGGCGGTGATTAGCAAATAAAACTGAGTAATTGTAGTATTCTGCTCGACTCAGTATAATTTGCTGAAGTATCTATGTCAATCAAAGTTATATTTGGATTGACACTGTAGGGATATGTAAAACCTATTTATTTCTGAATAAATATTTGAAGAGATTATATAAGCAGAGATGTCCAAAGCTCAGGGATTTTCCCTGAAAAGATGAAGATTAGTTGTTGATAATGGCCTAAAATAAAATTCATCTGGTTATCTAGAATAGTCTAAGCATTAATAATTATAGCCCTAGGCTTATAAAATGGAACAATTATTCTCCCACCCCCAAACATTAAGGTGTGGATCTGTTTGCCCTCACAGAGCATCTCCAGTGGCATTTAGGAATATCCACTTGGACTGTGGGATACACATGGATTTCTAGAACAATAGCTGGAAGGTGTGCAGAGCAGGCTGGAGCATCTTAAATAATGGGCTCTTGAACATCCAGTGCCAGCAGAATCCTGTCTTTCACAAAGTAAATAATTGTAGGCAATAGGATAAAATGGTTTTAATCTGACTTGACTTTCTCTAGGAGCTTTCACAAAAGCAGAATGTGTACAAAACCTGCAAATTTCAAAAGTAATTCAGAAAAAAAAAAAAAAGACATTTGGTTCTAAAATGTTATTTTCCATATCTTTAAAATTGTAAAGAAAGTTAACACAACATGAAATATTAAATTGTCCCGTTTTGCCAAAAAAACTTAAGAATTATCACTACTGAGACTGAAATTTTATTATTTTAATATCATCACTAAAGAAAAAAAAAACAAAAACAACTTCCTCCTTACTTGCTCCACAACATTATCGCTTTCAAAGCTAAGGCTGGTAGTATCCTTTTAGGAATCTTCTGTCAGAAGTAGAAGTTTCCTGCTCTCAATCATTTCCTAGCCCTGAAGCTTGTAATGCTTGAAGTGAGTTTGTCTGGAGTTATTAATTTTCTTCAACTCTTTTGGAAGGAGAACTATCAAAAATAGATACATGCAAA